CATCTGACAGATACAGCCCTTTCAAGGAAAATAGTATGAAACTGTCATGATTACTTGAGCAGACATCACTGACAAAAGCAAATTTGTGCCTGAACTGTTGCTGCAGAAATATTTCAGGCAGTATTTTTTCAAAGAGAATATAGATCTGGAGGGACATTGCCAAGGTTTTAAAGATCAAAATGTGTTACTTGCAGTGCTATAATTGGATGGAAACAGTCCTCCAGATCTGAAACATCAGGTTCAGTTTGGTTTTTAAATCAAACACCACATTTGCAGAATTTCTGTAGGACCTATATATCCCAGCTCCTGTTTCCCCCACTCGGTAACAGTGAGCTCTGCTGACAGAGCCAATGAGTCCAACAGGGGTAAACAAATCCCTTCTGACACGACAGAGTGTCACACAGTCAAACACTGCAATTCATGTAAAAAAAAAAAAACCACCAGACTGCTTCGAATCTAACTCCAGTGGGAACATAGGGCTTGCTTTAAACTCCCATTTGCCAAATGAGGAGCAGACCAATTACTCATTCTCTTAAAGCAGCACTATGGAAACAAAGGCAGTACCCAGCCGTCGGTGGTATTTAAGGCAAAGTAACCAGGAGAAATGGCACCATCTCCTCATCAGGATATGGGGTCATGCTCCAGCTCATAAGCAGAGCAGGGGTCCCCCCTGGCCACTGGAACAGTGGCATTATCCAGGCCGCAGGTGCAGCCCAAGTCTTCCTGCAGCAACCCACCACTTGACACTTTTCCCATGGTCCACTCTGCCCCCTCCAACAACCATCCAAGGGCTCCCCTGCCCTATTTTGAGAGGGGCTGGACAGTGTAGAGGAGCTCCACAACAGCTTTCCTTCTGCCAGTACCATGTACCACCATCTATCCCAAACTGGCCTGGGGCTGTGGCTGGGACCAGGTTTGGTGCTGGCAGCTGTGATGCTCTCAGAGACCTCATGGGCATCTGACTCTTTTGTCAAGGGTCCCTGGACGTTTCCTAACATCACCCCACAGTGAGTGTTTGGCTGTGGCAGTGGGAGCCCCACTCATGGAAAAACCTTATGAGGTGCATGTCACCTCAGACATAACATCGTGGCATCCTTCACCCTCCAGCTCCAGACAAAAGCAGCCATCCCAGCTCACCCACCAGGAGGCTGGCAATCCACAGCTGCCCCAGGCTTGATGGCTGCAGAGACACCTGATGACCCTCACCCCCATCAGCAGCACAGCCAGGACTTCCAGCATCCCTACAATGAACTTGCTTGCAATTTTGATCAGTGAGAGAGGAAAAAAAGAAAAAGAAGGAAAAAAAAAAGGAAATAAAGATAGTGTCTAACTAATTTTAGTTCTGTACAGCCCCTCAGCACTAACATTAAAAATAGATATGATGGAATGGAAAAAACCCCACAAACTAAAAAGACACTGCAGGACCAAGAAAATGTTGCTCTTTTAGCAAAATTTGGAAAGTCAAAAAAAAATGTTCCCTTTTTAAGAAAACACATCTCTTTTTTTCCCCCATGCAAACCAAAACGAATGAACACTTTTTCATAGCTGTTAAAAAAGTTTGGCTTTTTAAACTTCTTGTTGTTTGTTTTCCCACAATACTTAACCAAGGCCAGCTTTCAAAAGAAAAAGCGTGGATCAAAACCTTATAAAGAGGTCTAACAGTCAATATTTGTTTCTAGAAGGGACAAATAAACCCAAAGATTTCCTACCCAATCTTGACAAAATACACCTATAAATTCTTAAAAAGATGCCGTTTCCTAATTTCACATCTAATTTGAACATGGCCAAAATCAAAAAGGCAAACTTATTGAGTAGTTGTAATGAGGAAAAAGCCAACTAACTTCTCCCAACTAACCTCTCCTCTAAAGTAAGCTGAGGAGTCCCTCAGAAAGGGGAAGGCATGTGATGAGCTGCAAAATACATTCACCTTACTGATTAATCCTGAAAAACTCAGCTGACAGCAGAAAGCTGCTTACCCTTCTGCAACCCCTTCTGATCCTTCCTCAGCCCCTCTGAGGGCATGCCCATTACCTGGCTGGTCAGGATCAGGATGAGGTTCAGCCTCTGCTGAGGCACACCAGTCATGTGTAACAAAAGCAAAGAATGCCAGGTGAGAACATAATCACAGCCCTGTCAAACACCTCCATCTCTGCCACGGCATCAGCTCTACCTGCCCTCGCAGCAGCTCCGAGTGCTGGCAGACAAACCAGGCCGTGGCATGACACCGGCTGTGCATCGCGTTGGCGTCTCCTGTCTCTGCACCCGCCTCTGCCTGCGGCCACACAAAATCCAGATTTGGTCACATGCACATGGGAGGGTAAAATGACATTGCTGACTTCTGGTTAATCTGTGTTTCAAGGGCCACTGCCACGGACAGATCTGTCAGCCCACCAAAATTATAAAGGTGATACTGAACCGAGGCTGGTCCGCTGAATTCAGGCTGGTCTTTCAATAACTGGGACTCATCAGCTGCACACCTCAAAATGCTGAAAAAAACCAAGAAAGCACAGCCTTCAAACATGCATGGGTAAATGAACGAGAACACCTCCATCAGAATTTCCACAACATTAATGTTTTCAAAGAGGAGCTTTTTGATGTATATGCCTTTTATTCAGAATATCAATACCTTGATTTTTGTAAATAAAATCTGTCCTGATTTGGCCATGGAGTTACACAGGCATTTCAGGACATCACTACTTTCAAGCCCAAGACTTATCTTCATGTGCCCTATTCTCGTGCTTAGTTTCCTGAGAAAGGTCCCAGTAACTGGATGATACCTTCTTTCTTCTTGGTTTTGGTTCACTTTGCAAATGATACTTGCCCACATTGACCGGAACACGGCTCCAAGGATATGCCTGAGGAATTGAGGAAACAGGTGCAAATTCACACCAAACTCGTCAGCTCTTGCAGCAGTGGCTCCCATACATGAACAGACCTGGAAGCTCACTGCAGACACGTGTACCCCTGATTTCAGAGCATCAGAGCAATGGCTAGCTCTGTGTTTCCCCAGAGCAAGCACTTTCCTCTGCAGGAGGCACTTCAGGATCCAAGACAGTGAGTTATTCATTGAAAGTTGAAGTTATTTCAAGCTCCAGACTATTAGGACTACTAACAATTAACAACCTAAAGTAGTTGTCTACCCTGTCTGCTCCCAAAACATATAACACAACCAACACATTATAAAAATTTTGCTGAGGGATCCTGATTCATCTAACTGTAAATCATTGAGAAAGTTGTAATTAAAATATTTTTAAGCAAGCCACCAACAAAGTCTGCAGTCAGATACCTGATTTTATATGCATGTTTACAAATATGAGAGCTGTCTTAATGTTCTATATGCTCTGTCTCTACTTAAAACCAGCTAGTCTTGGCCAAGCAACATTGATGTACATGCTTAACTTCAAAGTCATGAGTAAGTCCAATGGATTTTTCTCATCTCTAACCTGCATTTAGGGAGACAAGAACATGAAGCATATCAGAACCTGTGCGATCATTCCAAGTTCCAGATTCACAGATGTGCTAGTGAAGGTCACTTAAAACCAATTCCAGCCATGCTTTCAGTTCCTGAATATTCCCACTGCTGGCGGTGCTGACAGAACTGTCCTATCTCAACTGCCTCCCGTGCATCAACTTTAGGGATTGGGCCCTGTAAGCCAGCACAGAGTTCAGTACCCACTGAAGCACCTTCCCAGACAGCTCTAAAGCATTTCATTGCCTGGGCCAAAGCCTTACAACTATATGGTATCCCACGCCTACTAATATTCCAAATTGCTTTGCAGCCTTCATGGGTTTGCTATGTCTGTTGGTAAAGAGCACAAAGCACCCACTGCTGAGACACACCAGGCTTTCAGCAACACATCCCAGTTCTTTAGCCTTGCCTAGCAATAGCAGAGAGCAGTCAGGGGCAGGGAGTGAAAACATAATAATAATTCACAAACACAGAAGAAATTTGGCCAATACACATTCCAGATGAGTGTTCGGGAGATTATACATTAACATTGACATTTCCCTCCTGAATAAAAACATTCTGTAGTAGTGATTGCAAACTTCTGCAAAGAAGAAGAAACATTGATCAGCTCCTTTCTGTAGGACTGTGTTTTTCTCCAGCTTTCCCTGACTGTCTGAAAAAGAACTGGGAGTGGTTCTTACCTGCAGACACTGTAATATACGCACCCAAAGTATGATCAGCTATCAAATAAAATTCCCTTGAAACTTTGCCAAATCATAGAATTTTTTAGGTTGGAAAAGACCTTTGAGATCATCGAGTCCAACTGTTAACCCAGCACTCCCAAGTCCACCACCAAACAATGCCCTCAAGTGCCACATCTACGTGGCTTTTAAATACCTCCAGTGATGGTGACTCAATCACTTTCCTCAGTAGTCTGTTCCAATGCCTGACAGCCCTTTCAGTGATGAAGTTTTTCCCAATATCCAACCTAAACTTCCCGTGGTGCAACTTGAGACCATTTCCTCTTATCCCATTGCTTGCTACTTGAGAGAAGAGACCAACCTCTGCTTCACCACAGCCTACTTTCAGGTAGTTCTAGGGAGAAATAAGGTCTCTTCCTGAGCCTCCTTTTCTCCAGGCTAAATACCCCAGCTCCCTCAGCCATTCCTCACAAGACTAGTGTTCCAGCTCCTTCACCAGCTTCATTGCCTTTCTCTGGACACGCTCCAGTACCTCAGTGTCCTTCTTGTAGTGAGAGGCCCAGAACTGAACACAAGACTCGAGGTGCACCCTCACCAGTGCTGAGTACAGGGGAATGATCACTGCCCTGGTCCTGTTGGTCACACCATTGCTGAAACAAGCCAGGATGCTGTTACATCTGATCCACCAGGGCACACCACTGGCTCATACTAAGGTGCAGTCAACCAGCACCTCCAGGGCCTTTTCATTAAAGCATCAATCATTTTCTTCCATGGAAGAAAGCTGTGCCAGTCATACCTCTTCCTTTTATGTCCTCAACCCACTCCTGTAAAGATAAGATATTAACACAAATCTCCACTTCCCAGAATTCTGTCCCACTTGGATGGGGGATCTGTTTTTGAGTACGAACAAAAATGTAGATGGAAAGGTCCTGTTGTCCTCTAGAGCTCTAGTTTGCCCACGTGTGTTTTAAATAAGTGTTTACCTTGGTTCCACCTGCACAGTAAGACAAAATGAAATACAGTTGAAATAGTCCAAGTAGCACGTGACAGCTGAGTCAAGCACAATGGTCTCTTCCAAAGTGGTATAAACCTCTTCCTGACCTGAAGGAGAAAACAAATCAGACTGACCCCAAGAAACAGCTTATCTGCACAATGGGAGACACTTGTACACATCACTTGCATTGTTCCTGATCTCTGTACTCATCCATGTCCACATCTGAATCAAAGAGGGAGTGTCCAGTGTAATCGGTATCAGGCGTTTGGGAAATACTATTCCCTTCCTCATCAAATGTTTCTGTCCTTGAATAAAAACTGAAGTCCTGCAAAGGTGAGTAAGTCTTGCTTGCTTCGCTGCTTTCCTCGGATTCATACAGAGTGTTATCATCATCATGGTGCCATTCTGGCCAAAATTTCCTCCTTATTCTTTCACAATACATAGCAAGGTTAATCAGTTCACCTGCAACACAGTGCAACAGATTTCAATAAATAGATTCAGTCAATAATGCTCAAACTCACCTGCTAAACACATAAGCATTGTTTGGAAAGAAATTGTGCAGGGTCTTTCCAAAGAGTTTTCAAAATTCCAAGATCCCATGAATCCTCTTAGCAACTCTGTTTGTAACTTTCATCTAGCTTAAAACCCATATTATTAACCCATACACAACAAGAAAGGTTACGCAGGAATAAACACATATGTATGTTCATGCAAATAGAAAAATAAATCTCCCAAATTCAACATCTAAAGAAATCAACCAAGGCAAGACACTAATATTGTAAAGTTTTCATAGGAAAATTTTTTGCTTAATTGCAGACACCTAGTTCCTAACGACGGAATTTGATCCTATATATGCACAATACACTTATTAAATGCAGTGAATTTAGATTTTCCACCACCAGATGGCAGCGCTGTCTGCAATATAAATTCACATTTTTAAGTTTTCATATGGTCACTGGTTCACTCCTAGTGTTCCCAGCCTTAGTACCTTACACCTTATGTTTATACATACATGCATGCTTACAGAATAAATCATTAAAAAATTCAAAGAAGAAACAAATAATAGCATGTTAAAAGGGAGCTGTATGTGAAACCTGTACTCACGGTAGCATGAGCAGGTGGATGGGTACAAAGAATCAACCTTGGGTATACCTGCTTGGGTATTTCCATCTGTTACTTTCTATTTATTTTCATTAGAGACAAACTAATTCAACAAACACAGTATTCCTTCTAGAAAGCCGTGAGCCCTTCAGGATTTCATCTGTGATTCTCCAGACACCGAGAGGAAGAACTGTATAGCCGATACTTATTTCCCCATCTCAAGTGCTCATTATTTGAGGAAAAGAGTAAGTCTATGCCTCCTAACTGTCGATTTAGCAGAGCTCTCCTGTACAGAGTAGATTTACAAGTCAGATTCTTTCCTTTTACACCTATTTCATATCCTTTTCCTCCTTAGCTCTTCCCATTTTTCACACTGAGTGGTTTTATTCTGAAAAGGGATGTAAAGATACTTTAACATCTACACCACTCCACAAGAAAAAAAAACCCCTCCGTGGTAGGGAGGAGTATGCTGGTTTCCAGCTCATGCCAAAACACAGTGACTCCAAAGTCAGGTTGGATTTTTTCCTTGTCCAGCATCTTCAGTAACAGCAAAGGCTGTAACTTCAGTGGGACCATAGCACTTGCAGTTCTACTATCAAGGAAACTACTCAGTTCAGCAGAGTTTGGCTCATGGTTCTGCTTCTGTCTTCTCATACATTATCCAGCATTCATTCCTCAGAGGCTTTACGCCTTTGCCATTTTAAACAAGAAAAAGATCAAGTACACGAATAGAAACAATTACTGTCTAGAACACTAAAGAGAAAATAAATGTGAATTTTAAGAGAAAACAACATTACAAGATACAAACGCTACATCAAAGGCAAGAACAGTCTGTGATGCAGCTGAAGTACTGCAGTCTTCAAAATGTCCTTCCAAGGTGCTGCAAGTGTAAACATGGAAAATGCCACCAAGAGCTTTTCATCAGAGATATCTTAAGCTTTCTTACCTTTGATTAGTCTCTCTGGTCGAGTCCCTGGTAGCGTCCACATTGCCTGTGCCAGATGTCCAAAGACGGTGGCATCAACGGTGGAAACAGTTGATCCCATAATGTACTTCTTGTCACCTGTAAATACAACAGAAAACATTTCTTGACTGGTTGTCACTCTTCCGCAATTAAAATAAAAAATTCCATGGTTACATCTTTAGCTTTTTTTTTTTTTAGTAAAATCAATTAAATGAAAAGGTTCACTACCTTAAAGACAGGAATTCAACACTGAATATGACTGCAAAGCCGTTGCTAGGGTGAAATCCATAACTGCAGCTTGCCCCATGCTCACTCACAGCTTCTATAACCAGGCCAATAACAGAGCCACCACTGGCCAAGGAACCTCCTCCACTCCTCGCAGCTGGCAGCACTCACACACTGTACTAGTTCTACTGCACTTAAAACCTGCTCTGCAGCCAGCAGGTGCCTGACAGCACGATTTTCATCTTGCTGCAAACCCAAAACTCTTCAACCACGGTTCAAAATCATGAACTTGCTGACAGAAGCTGGTCACGTGCGTGCACCTCTCGTGCATGCAGATCCAGTTTTGATTTACTCATCTGATCAGCCAAAAAAAGAAACAGATGGATAACTAACTAAGACAGGGAAGAAAAATCACGTTTCAAAGCCACTGTTTGCAACAAAACATCCAGTATAAACTTGTTTTCCCATCACAGGAATGAGACCTGGAGCAAAGACCACACATAGAGCACGCAGGTGAAACAGGCAGTATTGCAGAGGTCAGGTTAACCGGTTGCACTGTTCCTGCCTTGGCCTGAAGTGCTATAAACTCTGTGAAATGTGGTATGTAATTGAATTCTCAAAATCCAGTTATCCCATCTCCCCAGGACATTCTTCCCCTGACCATAGTAAGCTGCCTGTAATTCAGCAGGTTATTAAATGTTAGGGTTATTGAGCGAGTCTAGAGGAACTGTCCAGCAGTAAAATGCATCAAATTCCAGCGTACAGTATAAGGAATGCCACCAAAGCGGTGCTCAGGAATAACCAGGAACAATAACCTCCTCTGGTCTGTCAGATGCCATTTTAACATGGAGTTAAATCTCCCCAGTTCTTTCACAGCTGCATCAATCTATTGTTTGGAAACTCTGTACAGGGTAAATGTTGTGTCTTTTCAGTATTTATCTGACACCTAAGGATTCACTGATCTCAAAAACAGCTCAAAAATTGGTCCCTAAGCCACAGTTATATGCCAACACTAGGAATTTAGCATCATACAACTGGGCCTTGAGATTCAATCCATAGTGATTTGTGCTGGGAAGTAATACTGTCATTTCCATCTTGTTACAACTAAGGCAGGCAGTGAGTGAGGGCAGAACCATCCCTCTCTCTGGTTCACCACACACAACACCCTACACCCTGAGGTGCACGGAAACAAAGGGAAAGAGGAGGAAATAAAACTGTGGGTTCATAAAACTGTAAATCTGGTTTTAAGTCATGTTGCACCACATAATATGGCCTCTATGCACGTTTTTCCCACCAGTTCCAATTTGTTCTCAAAAATTTCAGTGCAACTTTTGTCCAGAAGACTTTCTAATAGACCAGATATTTCTGTGTTCATTTTTAGGCCAGATTACAAAGTGCCTGTCACATCAAGGCTGCCACAGTGCTGATCATCTCAAACACCTCTCTGCATCCCCTGGCTAATCCAATAGAAATGAAATCACCTAGTCACACTGGACTTGGATCAAATATGTACTGCCTGGGAATTTGAGAGCACACAGCTCCACTATTTACAAAGGCATACACCAGAGAATTCAAAAGCAGCTACTTCAGCACTGGGTCAAGAAACACCGGCAAGAAACAGATCTGAGACACAGGCAGAAGACCTGCACCCTTCCAACAGCAGCATGGTCAGCCCTTGCAGGCTGCTACACGGCATTTCAACTAACTTTAGAGGCTCACATTCAGGTTAGACCCACCTCTGTGTTTCAGCTCTGAGCACCCCTGCCCTTCACAAAGCACCAAGTGCTTTCAAAATCCAGTTCAGGAAGCTGCTGCCCTGCAACTCCCTGCTAAAATTCCCATCTCCCAAAAAAAGCCTGAGGCAGGCAGACAGCTGAAAGGGCACCAAGAGACTTATGGGCATTGCTCACTCACTTGCCTCTTTTAAACAATTACCAAAATGTATATTTATATATATCACTAATTCATATGCTCATTCCCCACAATTTCTTACGGTACTAGCAGGCAGTAGGAAACAGCTACAAGAAAATTACATTTGTGGTTTAAAGACTTCAGGACAAAGAGCAAGATGATACCAATGTAGCAGACTGATCCATCACGGGAGGGTTAGTTCCAATTTCCATGTTTATAAGAGATCTGGAGAAGTATGTCAGGGAAATGGGTACAAGGGAGAGAGAAAAATGATTCTCAGAAATGAAAAATAAAAAACAAAAAGCACCCAAGATGTGACTGGGAATGTCAAAATGAGTGTCATAAGAACTGGCAGCTGCCACGTTATCATTCTCTGGAAGCAGCTCTTAAAATTTAAAAGTTATTCTTGTTCCCATGTGAATGGTCCCTGTTAAAAAATGGGGAGCATTAATCTGATATGCCTGATAACTGACAGCTACAGTTTGGTATGTGCAGCTATTCTGCATGATAGGCATCCTTTTTAAGCTCTTAAGATTGCCCTCTAACAGCCAAAATCCCAACTATTTCCTCTTCTGGGAAAACACCTGGGTACATATAGGTGGAGGGGAATCTCACAAAGATTGTGCAGGCAATAAGCTGACTGACCACCTTCTCCTTCCCCCCACGAAACAGAGCTGTCTCTAGTCAGTCTGGAAGTCTTTGTCCCACCTTCTCTACCCATTCCAGGATACCACTTGGAGGCCATATTTACTAGACCCAATCATAAACAGCCGGTTGAAAACATGAGAGAACTGACGTTAATGAAAATCAAGGCAATTATCGAAAAGTAGATGAACTCACCCATAAGCAAAAAGGCAAATATAATGATTCACGTAACCACACACCAACTAATCTGACATCCATTTCAGAGGGGAAGATGAAAAAAAAGTACAATGTTCAGTTGGTAATGTAATAAAATAACAGGAATACAGCAAACGCCCATCAAGACTTTTTGAAGTACACAGGAACATTCTCAACAACAATCTGGAAGGAGAACAAAATCTCTGCTGATATGTGTATAATACAATTAAAAATCTGATACAGTGAAGAAGTGCTTTAGGATTTCTAGTGCTTTTTCCCACCAAAAACAAAAGCAAGAGACTGATTATAACATTTACCTTCACAGGGAGATGACCCAAGCCACCCAGAAAGGAAAGAAGAACCAGGAAAAGCATCTGCCTGCAGGTTGGAATTGGACAAACTCCCATTTGAAGCAAGTCTAATTTTAAACAGATTTTGATAGTGACTAACATCTACTACCAATTACTAACAAAAGTGGTGGCACCTCTGCTTTCTGAAATCTCATAATTAAAAGTAGATGGCTTTTAGAAAGCCATCCTTAGCCAGCAAAAAGGCACAGGCCTCAAAACAGCAATCAAGCAGTCTGATTCACAGAGATATGTCTAGACTGTTAAATGATCTCTTTGAACCCGAAATTTTACAAATCTGAGTGTCAGTATAGACTCCAGAGATGGAAGGATGCAGACTTCAAATAAGCAAATCACAACTTCTGCAGGTACTTGGGAACGTGTTTTAGTTTTCCCTTGAAGGCTCTGTCTACTCATGGCAGACTGGGATGACTTTAGCACAGACACATCCACTGCTGCTCCCTGCAGCCTGTCAGTGTTGTCTAGCCAGAACCATGGGGCTTTGCTGAGCTCCCCATACAGGTTGAACTTGCTCCAGCTCCTGCCCCACTCCATTCCTCTTTGTAATGAACATGGAGCAACACAGTGCCAATCTCAAAACTACAGCAACAGTAGTCCCACTGAGGAGGGTACCTTGAGCTGGCCACAGCTCTGCAGCAGATATGGTCAGACCTCCTCTTCTAAAGCGAGCTGCTCCCTCCCTTCCTCCCCCTAACAGAAAAGGGACTTCTTAAGCACCAAGAAACAGGTTTTCTTTGAAGAGGCACTAGAATAGATAACCATTTTTGTTAACAAACAAAATGCAGCATGAGAAAGCAGGGTCAGAAAAAGAGTAGACAAACCTTCCCCCTGCCCATTGTGCCCATGCATCGCATGTCTTTTTTCCACCTTGCTCCCAATCCAGCAACTTGGCAGGTTTGTTTCAGAGAACAAACTTAGAGAAAACTCTACATAGCCTCATCTAGGTCCACTGCAAACACCTTCTTTTCCAGAATACCTTGGAAGTTCAGAAGCATTTCTTCTTTCCCTTTCTGAGCAATCAGTCAGTTTCTTCCTTCTGCTGGGCTTTCCTCCCCTTGCTCCCTTCATCCACTCCACACTTATTTCTTTAGAGCATGTGCAGTATGTCCTCCCTTTGGAGCACAGTCTCTCCTGTTCTGCACTCAGCCACCTCTTTAAAGCAATCATAAGAGAAAGCACAGCGGCCAGACATGGACCATGTCTTTTGATTCCTTGCACAAGAGAGACAAAAGCTCAAGAGAAGCAGCAATCTGCCCCAAACCAATTCCTCAAAATCTAAATTTTACACAGACACACAATATGCTTAGCTCTCAGCAGACCAGAAGGCAGGAAGCGCAGTGTAGACAGCTCCGATGCAGATTGCTGCCTGAGCCACACAACAGAAATGAGGTTCATGCAATGCTAACTAAGTGAGGTCACCTTAAAAATAACATTATAGGATTGGATTATGATAACCAAAAAGCCTAAACTCACCTCTTTTGACAACACACCACCACTGCCTACTAGGAGCTTTGAATAAAGCTACTAACCCAACCAAATACAACAAAGTTCAGCTCATCAAAATAACACCTGCAAAGGTGTTTTCAAATGCCAGCCTCATAATGATTTAGCAAACAGCCACAAGTCCCATGAAATAAAAAATGAGACAAACACCCCATCCCCAAAAATCATAAATAAGAGGTTTCATTTGCAGAATTAAACACTACATTTTCCTAAATTCATATAGCAATATGCTCTTCCAAAACTGCAGGCTATCTTTTGCTCCTCTAGACACACATACTTGGTGGTCAGAGAAGAAAGCCTCTTATGCCTCTAGACACACGATCTGGAAGCAAACAGCGGGGAAAGATACACTTTCTCTGCCAGAGCAAGGCACTGAATGACAGCAGCAGTGCAGCTTCTACCTTCCGCCAAAACGAGATTATTTGTGTGTGTGATCAAGCTGTCGGGAAGCACTTGAGGTGAGTTTTATCCTGTGGACAGAGCTGTGAACAGACCACACACAACTCACTGTACCTTACCCAGGAGGCCTGCCAGAGTCCGCATGTCCTTCTCCATCAGCGTGTACATCTCCTCCTCTGAGAAGCGGCCAATGCCATGGCCGTACATTTCCCGCTTCACGATTCCTTTGGTCAGATGGCAGAAGATCCACTTCAGCAAGTCGCTGAAGGGGCCAAAAAGAGAAACCATCTTTTGCGTCTCATGAAGATTTTCCACCCATTGGCAATAAGCTAAAGTCCTAAAAGGATGCAAAGATAAGTTATAGCAGTGTGATCCCCAGATAGCCCACCACCACTCTGCCAAGGCTCAGACAAAGGTCAGGCAGACGAGCAGTCACTGCCCTGATGGAGAGGTAGCGGAACAGCAGACCCTGTGGCAATTTGGAGTGACAGCAGAGCAAACCGACTTTGCAGTACTTACACAGACTGCCCAGTGCTTATTCTCTCAGTAAATAATGATTCACTTCAGCAGAAAATGAGATTCATATTGAAATATAAAACAAAAGTTGTAGAATTCTGCTAAACTCATGTAACAAAATGCAATGCAAAAGGGATTTATTAGCTAAAGATGACTGACTGCAAAGACCTGGGGAACACAATAACAACAAAACAGCCCACAAAGGTATCAATCTTTCTCACCAACCTGTTCTCCTTACTCTCTTTACTCTGAAACTTAGCCAACCAATAACTTTTCTCCAACAGTAATTTTTCATTGGAAAAAAACTTCTCCTTGGAAAGTAATGATGACACAATCTTTTAAAAACAAAATTTAAAAAATGAAGGAGTAGACGTTATTGGGTTGGTTTTCTGTTTCACATTTTCCTCTCTTCAAAATGCTGATTTTATGAGAGAGACATTTCTAAAGGATTCTGTTGTATCCCATGCTTTATTGAATGGCAAATAATATTCTTTTGGAAAGTCTTTTTATAAAAATTTGTCTCGCCAGCTAAAATTTTTATTTCCTACATGAATTTTTGTTTTTTAATAATATAGACAAATAAAAACTTGATTTGTTGCTGTTGCAACTCCAGAAACTCCTGAAAAAAAGAAACATTAACTTTTTTAATAACCAGCAACTCCTGAAATAACAAACAAACCAAAGAGACCACATATATGACTTTTGTCATCAAGTTCAAAGGATGTTGGAAAAAGGGCTAAAGACATCTCAAAGTAGACGTGACAGCCATATGATGTCTGCAGGATCTCAGAAACACTGGGAGTTGGTACCCATATTCTATTAGGTTTGTAGCAATTTCCAAATGGAAAAAAACTAAAAGTGGATTTACACATTTGGGATTGTATGAAAAGAGGCTCAAGGAGACTGACAAACTAGGGAAGCTAGATAGAAAAGCTGAAATATCAAAAGATGCAAGTTCATGTACACAATTATATTAAATACTGACTTAATAATCAAATGTTTCCATTTCCAATATGACCAGAGTTCCATTGCTTTAGTTCGGAATATGACTTCAGTTTAATCCTTGTACATATTTATAACTCCACATAATTTTCTTAGTGCTGATATGGATCACCTAATTCAAAAAAGGAAAGGGAAAAAAAAAAGCAATATCTCTTGAAGAACTCCTGCGACTTTTTTTCATCATGTACATTTTATCAAACTCCCATGTGTCATGGTAAACGCTGAATTCAGCACTACTATCAGGGAACAATTACTTTCCACCATGAAAATGTTCTAATATTTTAAATTTCCACAGATTCTTTACTTGAATTACTAATAACATGAGGTGAAAGGAGAGTATTTTGCTGTAATAGCTGAAAACAACTCCACTTTGTGCTCAAATTTAGAATGCTCCCAACAAAATGGGTGAAAAGTATTTTAATTCTTTTAAAAGTTGTCCACAGCAGTTCAATGCCTTCTGCTCAAACTGGTTTCACTGAAGTTAGTAATAGTGAGGCATGCACAGGTTTTGCTGCAAATGCATAAACAATGAAGAACAAAAATGCACCTGCTATGCTTCTAATGGCTTTTACCCTCAATAGGTTTCTCAACAACCTCTTGCACTATAGTAATATGACAAAAGCATCCCGCTGACATTTCATACACTTCAATACCTCTCTTTGAATGGGGGCGTTCTGCACAACCCTTGTTTTTTAAACTGGATGGATCAACTCAAGTCATTGAGCTGGTTTCAGCACAGCAGAGTTTGAGACAGCCAGATTCAGCAGAGGAATTCAGCAATACAGGAGGAACATGAAGCCAACAAGCACAGCAGCAAACAGCTACTGAAACTCCTAAAGCATTAACTTTGTCTGGAAGATGTGGTGTGGGACTACCTTGCTCCAGGAACAAAGTAAAACAGTATTTAAGAAGGATGGAAAGAAGACTGGCCTAAAGCATAAGGGCACTCTATAGAGCGGAACATTGCAGTAGTCATGTTTCACAGCACATACAGCTCTGAATAGGAATTTAAACTCTGGTCTTGATGTGAACACTAGGAAATAATTACAAATACTACCTACACCACAGAATCATAGAACAACTTGGGTTGGAAGGGATCTTAAAAATCATCTGGTTCCACCCCCACTCCAGGGGCAGGGATGTTACCCACTAGATCAGGTTGCTCAGGGTCCCATCCAACATGGCCTTGAGCATGTCCAGGGATGGGGCATTCACAACTGCTCTGGGCAACCTGTTCCAGTGTCTCACCACTCTCTTCCTACCATCTAATCTAAAAAACTGTTCCCCCTTGTCCTATCACTGTCTGCCCATGTAAAAGTCAGTTTCCCTCTTTTCCCTAAGTGCCCTTTAGGTACTGGAAGGCTGCAATGAGGTCTCCCTTGAGCCTTCTCTTCTCCATGCTGAACAACTCAGTTCTCAGCCTGTCTTCACAGGAAAGGTGCTCCAGCACTCTGATTATCTTTGTGGCCCTCCTCTGGACCCTCTCTACCAAGTCCACATCTTTCTTATGCTGAGAACTTCAAAGCTCAATGTAGGTGGGGTCTGCCAAACACAGAGAGAATCACCTCTCTTGACCTCTTTTGATGCAGCTCAGTATGCAGTTGGCCACCTCACACTTTTGACTCTTGTCCAGTTTTTCATGCACCAGAACACCCAAGTCTTTCTCCATAGGGTTGCTCTCAATGAGCTTTTCTCCCAGTCTGTAAGTTATTACTTAATACTTGAATAAGCAAAGAAAAACTTGGTCACTGAAAGCACTGCTCTGTCATGCTGCAAAGACCCTCCTACCCCAGCATGGACCTGACCTGCTTCATCTGGCAACTCTGCAACACAACTTAGCTGCTTTAGGACAACAGGCCTGGCCTGGAGAAGGGCAACAAGAAGGCAAAACAAAACAGAAAAAGAAGACAGGAGACCTCACTGCAGCATTTTTTAAAAGTCACCCCAATTGCACAAGACTAACTTTGCCATATGGACTTGCCACCACTATTGCTCACTCCAACCACACCAGTGAGCTGGCACTGCACCCTGAATGATCAACTTTGTCCAAGATGGTCTTAATTTCATAAAACAGAAGCAACAAGATTTCCCACAAAGCTAATTAGCCCATACTTTAAAGCAAAAATACATTTTCCTAGAGCTCACTTGCTTGCTCTTGGGGGAGAAGATCTTTGGGTTTTGAAGAGGCAGAAACCAAATCAGGTGTTTAACAACCAGGACAGCAACAGAAAACTGCACAGGATTAAGGTAATCCTGCTTAGGCTAAACTGTCAAGACAAATCTTAAGACATCTGCTTGTCACTGTGTGCCTGAAAGTATTGCCAAACACTTCTTGAACTCTGTCAGGGTTGGTGCTGTGATCACTTCCCTGGGAAGCCTGTTCCAGTGCCCAACCAACATCTGGGTGAAGAGCCTTTTTCTAATACCCAACCTAAACCTTCCCTGATGCAAGTTCAGGCCATTCCCTCAGGTTCTGTCACTGGTCACCACAGAGAAGAGTTCATGCCTGTCCCTCCTCTTCCCCTATTTACCTTATTTACCTTCTGACTTTGAACAAGTAGAACTGTCAGATGTCCCAAATCTCAAATGTACATGGGCAACAAAGATAGCTAAATAGAAAATCAGAGTTTGCTTCTAAAATTTTATAGCTCTAAGTATACAAAAGCAAGGAAAAAAGTAGGCTCAGATTCACAGAGAGTTAAAAACACTTTTAAAACTGACTTTACAAGCACTCCGTTAAAAGAATTCTATTCAGAGGTTCATTAATCTGTGTTTCCTACCAAAACATGCTTCTGAGCACTTAATCTCACCCATAACTCCTCTGCTCAGAACACATCAGTAGAGTATTATCAACATTACAAAATATTAGGAAATGCCAGAAATTGGGTAGTCTACAAAATCTACTTCAGCAACGCATAACTATGTGTTTTATACTACAGTTAGTATTTATGGGATGACATAATTACTTTAAATATTGGCCTGAATAGAATATTTTGGGAAACATTAACACTCCCATTTGTGCCAGCACATCTGTACAAATGTTAGAGTATAAATGAAAAAATAATGCATTAAAGAGCAATGCTGTGGAGGTGAAGTAAATCCGAACTCTAAATGTAACAGCAGCTTTGGCCTCAATACATAAATCAGGCAAGGAGATGAAGAAAGTGACTCATCAACAGCAGCTTGCCTGATTATCCCAAAACTGTCTAAACACCAAGGCAAAGGGAAAGCATTCACAAGGATGTGAACTGGGGATTATTTCTCCTATCTGAACATGTGCAAACCAGAATTTCTTGATATACAAAAGGATTATAACAAATTCATTCCACAATCAGCAGCAGAAACTGCACCTGCTGTGCAACTTCCCAGAGCAACTGGCTTCTATGCCACCAGTAGCACTCAAGTCTCATCACTGTTAGCAGCAGGAGAGACACTGCACTTACAATTGGCTTGATGTATTTAAACATATTTACATTATAAACATATTTTATGTTTAACACATGACAGGTCTGAACACTGACCAGAGTCATATTCATTTGTATTCTCATACCATGCTTTTCCTGTACTTCAAGCACTCAAGTCACATATGATGTTTACAGTTTCTTCTTGAAAGACAAAGCAAGAAATGAGTCAAATATATATATGCGTGGATATGTGTTTGTATATACATATATACATACACACTTATCACTACAGTTCTGTTTGACAATACAGCTAAAGCAATCTAATGGGATAGTCTGCTTAAGCTGAATATTCAAGGCTTTATGGTCTAGCTAAGCACATTAGTGCCACCAACCTAAGATCCCTCTCCTGAGATTAAAGTGACAGGAGGCATCTCACAGACACTGCTACCCCTCTAGGCACCAGGAGCTGCCTGGCCTGAATCCCAGCAGTGTCATCAAGCCCAGCATGCCAGTTCCGGAAGGAAGTGAGGATCACACCCATCTTACATAGAGGTCTGATCCCATGAACGTGCTGCAGATACGCCAAAAACTCAACACATCCCCAAAGGTGGCTGTGGGTGCCCCGTTAGTTTCTGAGGGCCCACAGGTCACTGCAGGCAGTGGAGGAGACCCAGAGCAAGCCTACAGCAGATGAGTGGTCTGCCCTGGATCCAGGACCTGGGGTGAGAGCCACAAAACTGTTCCACTCCCATCTCTTCCCTGCTGGCTTGGCCCAACACCCATTCAGGTTAGCAGGCTTTTTTTCTTTTGCAAATTTAAACATAGCAAAAACCTAATGGTTATGGCATTCTCCAGGGGCAGGAGCTCCAGCATCAGTTCCGAATCAGTCTAGTGCATCTCACAGATAATGCTCCAATCCCAGCACAAAAATAAGCACACTCACTCGCTGTTTCTCTGCCTGACCCCTGCCAGGTGCCAGTCTGGGCTGGAAGCAGGGTGTCCACAGGCTGAGGTTCACAACAGTCCTACACTGCTCTTGGGTCCAGCCAGAGCAGCCACTTCCACCTGTAAGGGGCACCAACTGGTGAAGATGAGCAATTACCTCAGCAAAAGCCAAACATTTCCAGAGGAATGCTGAGCACCCACCAGGATTAGCTCCATCCAGAGACAGCACACCGCAGGATGTACTTCACTTCCTCGTTCGATAAATGTAACACAGTATTACTTATTTATGATGAAGTTACTTTGCATGCTGCTGGCAATAAAACAGTATGTATCACATTTTCTATCACCGCTTTGGAGGCTTGATAAACCTTATTCTGCAGACAGGCATCACTGTGTTACAAATTCTTTACTGTGGGACTGAAGGACACAATGAACAAACCCTAAGTTTCTGGTGGGAAGTAGGAAGGTTCAGGGACTGATGGAAAGGGATCCCACAACCACAGATACAATGCTGTCAAGGAGAAACGCGGCCCTACACAACGAAAGCCTTGGTTTATTTTGGTGTAACTGTAAGGTGGTCAGAGTTGTTATCCAGGAATTACAGCAATACAATTGCAATGCCTCGTGACTCAGGCTTTGCCCAGTACAGGGAACCCACATGGTATAACCTCACCAACACACCAAGCCACACAGCAGGGACATAAAGTAAGACTTGCAGCTGGATGTTTTACTACACTGCAGCGAAAATACATGCCTTGGAAAAACTCAACTGTGTGACTAGACAGGATAGGCAACAGGGATACACAGCCAGGCATGCACATCTCTGTCCTTACTCGATGTAACTTTGTCCACCCGTTTGGACACCACCTCCCTGGGTCAGTGCCTGAATTTGCAATACCTGTCCTCCACACTCCCCTGTGTCATGTCCAGCAATGCCAAGTCTGCTCTGAGGGAGTCTGGATGGACAGACAAAAGCTTCACAGAACAAAGCACAAGTTTGCAATTGAGACACAACAACAGTATTAGCTTGTCAGCAGTAATGATACATTTAAAGCAGGTAAATCTGTGAACCACGAAACTACCGACACTAAGGCAGAGAGGTGAAGCATTAGGGAACTAAAAGGCTTCATCCTCCCTTTGGCAGCTATAGTAACTGAAGGTGGAAAAATGAAATAAAGGTTACATTTGCAGGCTGCTTGTGTCAGGTTTTTGAGGCTATGACACTGCAGATGGGTATAATTGGTGAAGGTCATGCTTCCTGGAAGGTAGAGATTACATTTCTAAATCAAATCACTTCAATCTGGCTACTTAATGCTAAATTTGTTCTGAGGAGACACTAAAAATTATTTGAAGAACTATATGTTCACGTGTTGCTGCTCATCTTTGATCACAAGGTGAAAGAAAAAGCAGATAAATGCATTCAATTTAAAATCACACATTGTTTCTAAGAAAAGTGCAACATAAATGCAAAACTTAGTATAGCAAGGGCTTAAATCCATACTAGAAAGCACAGTATCAGAAAAAAGCCTTGTGCCTGCTGAGGCAGCATATGTAGCATCCCAGATGCCATGTCCACCTGATACTTCTATGAATTCAGTCTGGATAGGGCACTTAAAAAGGACTGAAACATAAACCAAGAGGTGTTATTTTCAAAGGTGTCAGTAAAATGCATAAAGTACCATTTCTATTTTCCATTCATATACATATTTCAGCTTTTCAGGATACTGTGACTAATACTGTGTCCTATCAATTGGCAGTACCGTCAACAATACATATTAACAGGAGTATCCTGTGTTACAAGGAAAGGCAGTAATCCATATTGTAATCACACACACATAATTAAGATCAGTAACTGTAAGAACACAATATTCCAGATTCGCTACAGACACTGGATTTGTTCCCCTGTGTCCCCAAACCACAGATGTATTCAGCCACCTTGATCTTTTGCTCTTTATTAAGAAGACTCTTTCTATATGGAGGTCACACTAAACAGGACGAAGGAACATCCCACTGCTGCTTCCTTCTACAAAGCTGCAGGCAAAGGGCCTGACTTTACCTTCCTCACACAGCGTAACAAATTCTCAGGGGAATTACCCCTGGTTCATACTGGCGTACATAGAAAGCAGCAGCGGTTTTCTAGGATGAAGAAAGTTGTGAAATTAACAGTTGGGCACTCAAGCTTTCTGCAAGAGAAAATAAGCACTCGTGTCCGGGTACAAGCTCAGGGGCAGAGCTGACAGCACAGGAATGCAGCCAGCTTTGCCATGCAAACTTACCAGTATAAGTGCTCCTCCACCATTTTTGTCACAGCTCTGGAAACAGCTCTTTCATGTGGCCCAAGGTGTTTATTTAAATTCACTCCAAGCTTCTCTTCCAAAAAGTCAATAATGAACTCGGTGCCAGATACTTTCTTGTGATTGTATTCAATCCAAGGCATTTTCCCTTGAGGGGAAAGTTTTCCATCAAAATAGTTCTAAGGAAAAAAAAAATCAAGTAAACAAACAAATATACAGACAAAAAAGACCCTTCAGGTTCTGTTTCAATGAAAATGAAGATTTTAAAATAATGTTCTCTCTCTTTAAAGCCAACATTATCCAACAAACTTTTTTTTCTAATTAATACTCTAGAGTAGCAGTAGCTATTCAATCAGAGCAGCAGTTTTACCCTATGTGACAATTCAAATAAAACTACTTCCAGGCCCTGAAAGGTGTTACTCACTTTTATGCTGGATGCCATGTGATGTAATATTATTACATACCCAGGTTATTTAAGGGTTGGAGATGCTCAGATCTCCCAGAAGACTGGATTAGTTATTCTAAACAAGTTTTTAATCACAGGACTCACAACTAAATTTGGTTCTTGCACAGAGCTGCACTTTTCATGTTAAAAGTACTTTAAAAAAATTAATTAACTACCTAACACAGATGCCTGCATTACCTCCAAGGATAAAACACACACTATCACAAGCATATACAAAAGGCGTATCATTCCCTTACTGAGCAGGAGGGAAATCTGCTTTCTGCAACTTCAGAACTTAGAAATCTCACACATTCAGAAACATACTTGTTACAACTGGGTCTCCAAGAGCCCAGCACAGAGTACTGCACTACTGCATTGCTGAATACTGGCAGAGGAATACTTGCTCAGCAGACCTCTCACGCAGAAGTAGCAATGTATTTTCCCCATTGGAGAAGGTGAAACACAGAGATTACAGAATTTATGTCTCCTCTGACAAACTAGAGAGGAATTGCTGGCTGCCAAAATGTGATCAGATATTTGGCTTCAATTCTCTTACTCCTGACAGCAGAGACACAAGGCAGAACTTTCTTCCTTCTCTGTGATTCTCATTCCCGCATCCTGTTATTTAGTGAATGAAAATTCCTAGCCTAGATAGCTGAACCATAAAGGCTTACAATAAAGGTTCTGCACTCAAGTCTGGATTCACTTAAGGTGGATTAAGGTACTCTCACAGCATGGAGTGTATACCAGAACACGCCTCCCACTCAGTCTGAAAGCACCAGCACCCTGTTTACCACTCAAAATGCAGATGTGCAATGCACTACAATCATGCAGCCATTCCCAGAGATTCTTCCCTTGTGGATGAAAACAGACAAATGGGTAACACTGCTGGGAAACAATGCCTTCTGGCTCTAGCCTCTTCTGGGATTTGTGCCCAAACAAACAGCCATATGGGATACTGGATTATATAATGTCTCATCTACCACACCTCTGCACGGGTGAACAAGGCACCTGAATCCCTCCTACTTGCATGTGTGGGTGACATGGGGATCATTTCCAATGGAGAAACTCTAAAAGCACTGCACATCCAAAACAAAGGAGAGCACTGCCCCATCCTTCCACCTTCCAAGGCCTTTCCTTCATCAAAGAGTCTTTCAGCACTGAGACTACTGATAGAATTCCATAATTTTTCATTATGACTTTACTACAGAAGTCTGAGCTTTTTCTGGAACTACACGGTGTGTCTAGAAGGCAATAAGCACTGCTGGTTTATTTCCCTTCTTGTGCACAAATATGGATGTTTTGCAGAAGCTACTGGACTTGAAGCTGTGTTTATTACATCTTGCAATTACTGCAGTCCATACAATTCACAACCCAGAAAAAAGCAAGTTGTTATTATTCAACTGCACAATTCTTCAAGCACATATATCTAAAACATATAAATACATTGCCTAAGAAGATTTTCATGTTTCACTACATATGGTTTATCAAACAAAACAGGAAACATCTTTCAGTGACCTGAAAAAACCTTAGTTTCCTGAGAAATCTGTTATACTGTTCTTGTATTCACTGTTCTCAAAGGGGCATTTTTAAGCTTGAAACCTCAGTACCCTTATGGCTGCTACTAATTGTCATCAAATATTTATCAATTTTCCACTTAAAAATTGTTCCAGCTGCAAAGTAGGGAAAAGCTATGTTATTGTTAAAAACCAAAAAAGAAACCAACAAAATATTCCTTCATACCTCACAGTACATTAACTGAACTGCAGCCTGCAAAGCAACAATAACAATAGTTCCACAGAACATCACTTATAGATGAATTTATAAAAAGAATGGCACAAGGCATTTCTGGGGTAATTTTATAGTATTATCCAGAAGAAATTAGGTTTCACATTTTCAATTACTGGTGCTTATGCTTTTACTTTTACTCATGTCTCTTCTCAAGAAGGCTACCATCTTCACAGACCTGGCATGAAAACAGCACATTTCTGCTCACTAATTATTTATCATATTACATAAAGGCTCAGCTCCTCATATTCTTGAGGAAATCAAGGAACATCCAAAACATCTCTATGAGCACCCAGAATGGCCTCTCTCAAAGCAGGCTTTATCAAGAAAAGCATCAAACATTTTGGAGAAACAGCTAGGCATTGTGACAGCCCAGCCAGGGTGGGGCTGCCCAAATAATTTTTGATGGAGAACTCGCACGTAGAAAGGTAGCTTCAAGAAAATGTAAGCACATTACAAGAGTGCATCTGTTGGAAGAAAATCAGCTGAAAGCAGGAACGTGTCGCCCTATTCCAATCCTCACACACCATTAAGGCACATTGTGAAACACACACAGCACATTATTTAACAGCCTGATGCATTATAATAAAGTATAAACATAAGCAATTGAAAAAGTAAAAGCAGTCTGACCACCTTGCTGCCTTCTCTTCACTCTATTACACAACCCTCCCTTCCAAGTAGCCTCTCCCTGCAGGGTGATGACCACAGCAGGTCTCCTGAGAGGAGCACCAGCTGCCACCTGCAGTGCTTCTCCATCACAGCCCCTACCAGCACACAGGAAGCGAGGTGTTTCCTCCTGTATCATGCTATACCACACACACACACACCCTCTGCTGCCTGCCAGGCAGCCATCACATGCCTTTGTCACCTACAGCATCCTACAGGTAACACAGTCAGGAAGGAACAAAATAAAAGTCTCCAGGCACTTCGGTATAGAAAACTCCATAATTCCAGCCAAGAATAACGCTACCTCCTGCTCCCCTCCCACTCAGTCCCACAGCAGCATCCTCACCTTCCTCCACCTGCCAGAGCCCAATGCAGCAATGTACTCAGGGACAGAAATAAAATCTGCTTCTTCCAGAAAAAAAAGCTGCATCTTCAGCTCATAAGTTTAGCTCCACCAAACTTACCTCTAAAACCCTACAAACACCTTAAACCTCTATAAGCCAGCATGGCTAAAAGCAGCAACCTGGCATTCCCAGCACCTGCAGGACCCATTCCTGCTCCTGCAGCATAGCACATGGAGCATGTGGGAACCAAGCTGGGTTAAAACCAAATTAATTAAACCTCCCTGGCTCCAGCTAGGCCAGCTGCAATCCAGCCTGATCTGCCACAGAAAAGCACGAGTAGGAAGGGACAAGAGGAAGCAGTTGAAGGTAGGACTATCACTTTTGATGGTCCTGCTGATCTATGCCAGCTTAGTGTGCTCACAGCTAGTGAGTTGGGATAGAGAGAGATGCAATACCAATAAGCAATGCCAACCTTCAGTCCAGAAAATAAAGAGGGGAGGGTAACCCTTGTAAAATTCCTCTCTTTGGGAAAAGCTGAGTGAATCACTTATAACCAGCATGAGCTCCTGAAGCAACTCCGTCCTGAACCACACAAATGCACAATGTCATCTTTTAGAAGTAAGTGACCACATCTTGTCACAACCATCTTTTATACTGCAGCTTTCTTCAGCTACTCTCCACCAGAGCAACCTTGACCATCACAAACCTTTAAACTGCATCAACTGCCATTAGGAAGAAAACAGATCTCACCAATATTGTCTTCCCTTCAAACATGCAATTTCTACCCAAATTACTTTGGGTGGAGAAGCGATGTGCACAAAGTCCTCCTGCTCCAATAGCATGTACAAACTTCAGTATCTTGCAAGTTCTGTAAACCTAAATGAGGAAAATACATCCCATGGGATGGAAATCTTCCTCTTTAGTAATCCAAAGTATCTGATTCAAGTACCATTAAATTGTAAGATAACGAACATTAAACTCAGGCCTTTTATACGGAGTTAAGCAAAATGTACTCATTAGGTTTTCTTTCACTTCTGATGTAAAGGAATTTACTCACAAATGAAGCTGAATGAATAACAACTATGAATGCGCTAAAAAAAAAAAAAGTTGTAATAGGGTTGGTTTTCCTATGTACAACACTGGACATAAACAAAGCATTCTTCCTAACATCTCACAGACATTTCTTCTACCAAAGATCCAAAGATCTTAATTCTATGTATCATCACTGCTGCATCATCTTAAAGGCAATCAGTGCTTAACACAAACAAAAAGAAAACCACCCTGTTTCAAAGAGCCCGTGTGCTGCACAGCCTGCCAACACCACAACAAGGTGGGCGCCAAACTCGCAGTGTCACAACTAAACCCTTGATGCTAATGGGTGAGACTGAGAGATCCAAGTTTCCACTCTCATAGCTTTCATTCACTGGAGAAGCTCGGGCTTCATCATCCCCTGTGGGAAGATGGCATGAGAAGCACCCAACCACATCTACAGAGTAGTATTCATGACCTCTAAAAGAAAACCCGTTTTACCTCACCGTGGAGGAAGCACCAGTCATGGGAGGTGAAGCAAAAGGCAAGCACTTCTTCCCAGGAGAGCTCCATAGAAAAACCCTCCAGGAAAATAAGAAGCTGCAGCTATCTCATCATGATGTCTTCAGCATGGTGAAATTCAAAGATCAAATAATGTTACGCTTTAGTTCTGGGGTGTTATTTAGTGTTATAGAAACTCCAAACTACTCTCCCACTTCAGCATTTCCAGCCAAGTTAACTTCTTAACATTCATTTAGCTGTGCCAGTTCAATCTCCAGCTGTTCCAGACCAATCTTATTCAAGTCACGTCTTTAAAGGCTATACACCGTATTTAACAGGAGATATAAAAGTGTTGGTGTACCCACCCAGTTGTAGGTGTATGTTTACATCTCCCTGTGTGAGACAGACTGGGGGGGAGGAGAGATGGGATGCCTATGTGCCATTTCACGTAATTACAGGAAGCTGCAATGCAAAGGCAAACTGCACAATTTACCTGGTAGGGTAAATCAGCCATCCTCAAGTATGTTTCCATTTTCAGACAGAACGGCGATAAACTCGGAACACCATTCCTAGGCCTTGAAAACTGATGCAGTATGATAGCATCTTTTGAATCAAGCTCTTCCTCTTTCCTGTCAAAAATGAAATGGAATTTAAAAAAAAAAAAGGAAACACTGGACAGGTGCATGATACATCAGTAAATTAAATACACAAAGGAGAAACCCTGGCCAAGACAACACACTCGTCTGCCTTTAAGGGGCTGCTGCAGGTTTTGATTGCCTGGGTCCGGAGGCGGTGCGAGGGCCCAGACTGGACCACCTGTGGGGGCAAGCGCAGGGCTCGCCACGGGGTCGCCTCCTGGGCTGCTGCGAAGGGCGAACGGGGGAAAAAGGGAAATAAAAAAAAGGCAAAAACACGGCGAAAGACAGAACCCAACCCGCCGGACCCCGACGGCCTGCCCCCGCAGGTACAAGCGCCGAGCGCACGCTTCATCCCGGCGGGCGCCCTCGCTTCCAGCGCCGCATCCCCTGCGCGCTCCCGCCCGGCCCGGGCGGCCCCGGCAGCCTCACCGAATGGCCAGCAGCTCGTGGAGCAGGTAACGCGGCGGCGGCCAGCAGGGCCCGCCCGTTCAGGTACAGCTCTTCTATCACCAGGAAGTCGGAGCCCCGCGCCGCCATTGGTGCCGGCCGCCGCCGACGCCGGAAGGGCGACGATCTCGCCCCCTAGAAGCGGTCGGCGGCTCCTCGGGCCCCGCACCAGCCAGCGGACAGTTCGGGTGCGGGGCTCAGGTCCGCCACGCGGAGCGCGGCGCCCCAGGCCCACCCCCACAGCTCTGCGCCCGGATCCGCATTCCCGCCGCGGAGGCCGCCCGAGCCCCACCTGCCCTGGCCCTTGCCCTGCTGCCCTGCCCTGTCCTAGCCAGCCCTGCCCTGCCTTCCGGCACAAGCAGCTGGGTAAGGCCGGCCGCGCTGGGCGGCTGCGGCTGGCTCCTCATGTCGCGCTGGCGCGGCTGCGCGACGAGGCTGGGGAAGGGAGGGGATGGGCAGGAGAGGGAGGAGGTGGGGTGGACCGAGTCAGGTCTGTCCTGCCCTTGCGGAGTGCCCGGGCCGCGGTAACCGCTGTCCGGAATTGAGGGGGAAAAGACGACGTGTCACGCCGGGGGGGTTCCGTGTGTGCCGGCCCTGTTAAAATGCCCGCGGTCCGAGCATCGCTTCGCTGCTCTTGGAGGACCATAAGAAGCCTCGTATTCATCCCGTATTTAGGACAGAGGAGCCACCCCCGTGCCTGGCCGCAGCTGAGCGTTGCCACACTGCGTCTGTCAACACCGCGGTGATTTTCTTTCTATTATTCTGATGCTCGATGAGGTGACTGAGGAAAACACCTCTATGGGCAGAAAAGGAAGCAAAATGGCTTCAAAGCAAATCTCTGGGCCCAGAAGGTCATGAGATTTTTACGGGCACTGAGGGTCCCGACACTCCCTTGCCTGCGGCCACCTGCTGCAGCGGGAGCCGTGGGTGCGCCGTGGTGACATGGGCAGGATTTCACCTGACGTTCTGCCGAATATCCGTGGCTCTGCATATCGTGCTGACCACAAAACACTAACAGTGTCCTTTGCTTTCTGATTAATACCATTGCCCAAATACTTCGTCTGTCATCAAATGCTGTGGTGTGTACAGAGCTGCTCCAAAAAGCTCCCACAAGTTAGATATTTTATTATGCCATCAGGGGCATAATAAAGTGACCTGATCCTTCACACAAATGAAGCATTTTCAGCGTCCAGGAAGGAATAGTCTGTGACCAGGGCTTTGTAAACGCTTTGCCTCGGGATGTGGGACAGATTAGACAAAGGAGGCAGATGAGGAAGAGAAGATCCCTGAGAGAAGCCGTGGAGTTCAGATCCATATGCCGACTTCTCCAAGTGCCAGTGGTGGCCAGTTTTGTGTTTAGTTTTGCTATGCAACATTGGTGAGCGCAACTTGAAGCTCTGTCAGGGGAGGTTTAGGTTGGACATTAGGAAAATGTTATTCGCTCAGACGGTGGTGGTGGGTACTGGAACACGGTCCCCAGGGAAGTGGTCTCAGCACCAAGCCTGACAGAATCCAAGAAGCTCTCAGACATGTGATGTGATTCTTGGGACTGTCCTGTGCCAGGGCCAAGAACTGGACTTCAAGGATCCTTATGTTGGGTCTTTTCCAACTCAGGATATTCTATGATTCTGTGAACTGTCTCTGCCTCCTACCTGCCCTCACCAGGAAGGCTGCTATCTGCTGACACTTTCCTACAGTAGCTTCTTGAAGCATTTTGTTTTATTCCTCACTTTTATCTTGTTGTTTAAGGTTATTCAGTAGCCACAGGTTACAGCACAAGAGCCCTGTGTTTGATACATAGCATGTGTTTGATACTGTGATGACATTCCACTCGCGGGCATCAATGGAATCAGAGATCCCAGGGACCCAGTAAGTCTCATTCCACAAACAGGTTGCTCCTCCTTTGCACTCATCCTTAGGGAGGTGCTGGCTGAGCACCGTCTTCACAGCTGTTGGGCCACCCCACATGTCGGATGATGCACAGGTAATGAAATAAGAGTGGAAAGTGAGAGCAGCAGCCCCTTCATGCCACAACTGATCATTTGCAGCATGAGGTTTTGTTAAATACTTACAACAGCACAATGAAGAAACAAAGAAGAAAAGTGCTTTTTCTCTGCTACAGCACCTGCAAATCTCAGGGTGAAGATTTATTTCAACTGGCAGGCAGCCTAACAAATCTGGACTGTCATAGCCTGATAGCCGGTCTCAGCTTTTGTTCCTCCATGGGAATTGCTTGCTGTGTTACTGATAAGAGGGATCCAGTTACAGATGGGATCTAGGTTTCTGTGAGGGTGAAGAAAAGTCCTGGGCATCCGCATCCCAGCTGTTTCCACTGCTTGACTTTCAAAGGCAAATGAGCTATCCTAAAATCTGTGTTTTAATCAGTGGCCAGCAAAATTGGGAAGACCTGTGAGGGAGAGGAGAGAGGGAAGGCAGGAGCAAATCATTCACTTCCCAGTGCTGACCCAGATGAGGTAGGCAAACCTGGTGTTTTGAAGGAAGCATTACTGCAATTTATGCTCTGAGAATCGATGCTGTGTTTTGGTAGTCCAGCTTGTGCCTAGTTGCCTCAGGATTATTAGAGCAGCACTTGAGTCAGATGTTTAACATTTGTTCAGTAATGACATTGATACCCCTCTTTTGGAGAAGGACTTTACACTGTGTTAATCCTGTTCTGGGTGCGGTGTTGCCTGGAAGCTGTGAGGGTCCAGAACACAGCAATGCCTCCCAGAACATAGTGCAGGAAGCCTTAGCAGTAGAGCACACGTGCCTCATGGTATGTCGGATACAGATCCCCACAGATACCCTGGCAGCCTTGCAGGATTTTTGGAAGTTGGTTATGACCAGACTTGGCCATTTAAAAGATTCCAATGTCACATCTTGGTTGCCAGAGTTTAACAGCAAATAAAGAACATAGATAAAACACAAGTACCCTCATACCTGTCCCTCACACTTGTCTTGCTAGTGGTACTCTGACACCCTCTCTTTCTTGGTGTTTTAAAGTCTCCTGCCAGCAGGTATTGAATCCATTTGGCCTGACAGTCTGATAGCCAAGCTTACCTGCAGGTAAAACATCAAAAAGTATGTCCTCGGCCTGCCTTTTCCCTGACTGTGGAAGAAGGCAGTGTCAATTCCTCCAGGGAAAGTGCAAAGCCTTTTGCCCATGGCAAATGACTTCTATTAGAGAGGATTATTAGCTGGCAGCAGTGTCCATGAACCTACGAATTGCCTTCTGTTCCTGTGCATTGCAGGTGCTGCAGTCTCAGACTGGTTCCAGAGATATGCTCTGGTTTTCCCACTTTGCCTCAAAGCAGCTTGCAGGTGATGCCCGCTGGGCTGATGGCTGCCTCACTGTCTTGCTCAGGGAGGGTGGGAATCCAGCTCTTCACGTTTGCTAAATTACCACTGTTCATTTTTTTGAGTGGGGAAAATGAGAGCTAACAGTGACACGCCCACAGCCTGTCTGGCTGCAAACACACACCAAGTGCAGCACAGTCTGGAACAGTCATCCCTCAGATACAGCACACAGAGCAAAACAAGACCTAAAACGTTAAAGTACACTTTTATCTGTAATCTGTTCTAATGCAGCTGCCTAAAGGAAGAGAGAGTAACAGGACTAAATAGGAAGATTTTTCTAGTTAACATAAATCTAAGCTTACTTTGTTAATATAGCAAGCCAAATTTTCTTCTGAAGTCTGCAGTTTGATTTAGAGGCAGGAAGGAACTTATAAACTCATTAGTGTCACTTGATTCTGTACGTTTGCATAAAGACTCTTGATCTTCATTATGTTTGTTGGGTTTGTTTTCTGTAATGTCCTTGGGTTCATTACACCTCTTTAAAAAAGCCTGAGGTTACCATGGCAGGCTGCCCACAGAGGTGGCAGGGGGTGTAGAAACCACAGCCTGAACCCAGTGGTTGAGATGAGTCTTTGTGGAGTCCCACTGCAGAAGCTGTCCTGTCTGTATTTTAGCTGAACTAAGTATGCTTTTTAAAAATCAGAGCTCACGCTGAATGCCTTGCTCCAGGTTTTGCTTTCCTGTATTGCTGCCAGCTGGGTTTAAACAGGAGAGCTTCATTTGCCAGATCTCTCCTGGAGCTTCATAAAACAGGGCCATCCATTTTCCACTCATTTTTTGCACTGGTATCACCCATGGCTCCTACTTGCTGCCTCTCTCTCTTCCAGGTGGTCAAAGTTTGGACAGCACGGAGCCTTTTACAGCTCCAGAAATGAGCATGGGTTGCTCTGCCTGAAGCAAAAGCCCCTTTCCGTGCCCAGGCACAATGACCAGCTGTCACCAGCCAAAGTGACACCTCTGCTTAGGCTGAACTCTCACTTGGTGTGCTGCCAGAACATCCTCCAGCGGTACAGAAATGCTTTCCTTCTCTTTGAAGTAGCCCAAACTCACTGAGCCCTTGGCTGCAGATGATGTAATTTAAGGGGGGTTTGTGGTGAGGGCTGAGTTTATGAGAGGGTGAAATAAGGCTTTTTCATTGCCAACAGGCTCCCAAGATCTTTCTGAAATAATTGCTGACAAAACTGGGAATGGTTTTGTTGTAATACTGATGATCTCTGTGGGCAGCTTGAGTTTCATAAACATGACTTTTTAATTATCCAGATAAAAATAGCCAAGGTATAGCTGCAAAACAGTCATGCTGTGTTTTTCAGATTGAATTTAGAAAAGGAGTTAATGTAACTTTCATGATAGACAAAGGTACAAATATACAGAAAATGCAAAACATCCAGATTCTAAACTACTTCTGTGCTATACAGAAATACCTGTGCTATACAGAAGTATCTGTACACATTAAATGCAATTCCAGCTTTTACTTTGCACTTGCTGGCAAACAAAGCCACTTTCTAAGGCAATCCATACCTTCAGACTGTCCTGAATGATGTAAGTCAGGGTATCTTTCTTTCTCAAAAAAAAACAAAAACAAAACCAAAACAAAACAAAACAAAACAAAACAAAACAAAACAAAACAAAACAAAACAAAAAAACCAAAAAAAAACCAAAAAAAAACAAAGCCCCAAACCCACTTTGTATGAAACCTCCTGCTTTCTTCAGGTGGAAATACTCAGGCTGGCAGCTGAGTATAGCTGGCT